GAAGGGGCAATGTCCCCCTGGATAGGGAGATTTCTTTTAATTTCTTTTTATCTTGTACATGTGTATACTTTAAGAACCTTCAGTCATGGTAAGTTTACATAGGAAGTTTTCTAATGACCTTCAGTGTTAGTTACCCCATTCCACACTCCCTCCTCTGTCCTTCCCTCCCATTCCCCACCCCCTTTACCTTTCCTGCTCTATTATGCCCCCTTTCCAACTTGTATCACACAGCTCTGCCCTAAAAACAGACAATCAATGGAGTAGAATTGAGGACCCAGATTGAAGTGCACACGTTTACAGTCACCCAAGTTTTGCCAAAGGGGCCAAGAATACATGTTGGAGAAAAGGCAGCATGTTCAACAACTGATGTTGGTCAAACTGGACAGCTACATGTAGAAGAATTAAAATGACCATAATCTCTCACAATGCACAAACAAACCTCAACTCCAAATGGATCAAGGACCTAAACATAGGACTTGGTTCCCTAAATCTGACAGAGGAGAAAGTGAGGACTACGCTGGAACTTAAACATGAAAGGGAGAGGTCTTTTGAACAGAACTGCTATCATGCAGGCATTAAGTCCAAAAATTGGACACTGAGATTTCATAAACTTAAAGCTTCTATACATCAAAGAACACCATCATTTCTGTGAAGTGTCAACACACAGAATGGGAAAAATCTTTACCAGCTATACCTTGACCAAAGTATCAATAACTAGAATATATGAAGAACTAAAAAATTAAACAGTAAAAAACATTAACCCAATAAAAATTGGGTCAAGGAACTGAACAGGAATTCTCAAAGATGAAACACCAATGACTGAGAAATGCTTAAAAGTGCTCATCATGTTTAGGCATCAGGGAAACACAAACTAAACCCACGCTGGTTTCATCTCGCCCCGCTCAGAATGGCAAAGATCCAAAAACAAACAACGACCATTGCCCGTGAGGATGTAAGGAAAGGGGAAAACTTAATCACTGCCACTTGGAGTGGAAACTCTGCAGCCACTATGGGAATCTCTGTGCAGAGTCCTCAGAGTGCACATGATCCAGCCACACTACTCTTGGGCACACACTGAAAGGACTCGCTATCCTTCTAGAGAAAACTACTCATCCACGTACATTGCTACTGTACTCCCAACAACCATGAAATGGAATCAGTCTAGACACCTGTCAGCTGATGAATGGATAATGACCATATGATATGTTTCCACAATGGCATATTTTATGCTATCAAGAAAAATAAAATTAGTAAATTCTTGTGTAAATGGAAGGGACTGGAAACAATCATCTTGAGTGAAGTAACCCAGACCCACAAAGTCAAACTTCAAGAAGTTCTCACCCTTAAGTGGATGCTAGCTTTGAGTCCTTAGATGTGCATGTTTCAACTGTAAATCCAATAGGGGTCAGGAAAGTAGCAAACTATAATGTGTGAGGCTTCATGGGGGGTGATCAATTCAGTAACATTATTTTGTTTCTTACAACTATCAAGATGATGTGCCATAGACATGTCCAGAGACAAAACTAACATGAGCCATCCCCCAATCGAGACTCTTCTTAGGAAGACTCTATAGGCTGTGTGTGCAGCCCACGACTTTACCTGGATTTAAGGTCTCCTCCTTGGGAGAATTCACATCTGTTACTATAAATAAAGACAGAACCCATGGCTACCAAGCTCATAGGACCCATTGGAGCTGCAGCTGCCATCATTTTACTGCATAGAGAAACAGGACTAGCTGAGGATTGTGGGAGAATCAAGAAAAAACAAACAAACAAACTGATTCACCTACTTTGCCAGTTGCAGCTTCCAACATTAGTGACTCTGTTGGTTCTGATCAAGAGTAAAAAAAGAAGAATGTGGTATCTAAATATTCCTTAGGAATCCTGCCACAAACATCCCAAATCCCAGCGAGCCATCAGGTTTGCATATTCCCAAGAGCCACATCTTCCAGGACTTCTACGGCTCTGAATCACCTAACAGCACAATGGGACTCAGGATTGTTCTTGACACAGCTTGTTCTCAGGGTCTTGATGCCAGAAATTGATGAGCTCCAGTCCAGATTGCATAGTTCATGAGGACTCTGGCTGCCCTCTCCATCCTTGATATTGTCAAGAGCACACATTCTCAGGACCATGAACATGTCTCTCCTCTATCCATATGGACATGGCCATGTCCCTCCTAGTCCATAAGGCAACAAACACCAGTATGAAATGTGGGTACCTCTATTCTGGGGGACCTGGGGTGTGTGTATATGTGTGTGTGTGTGTTTTCTTTTGAATTCAAGAATGCATCGAAAAGATTATCTACCATGAAGTTGGCTTCTTCCCAGTGATGCAGGTTAGTTCAACATTTGTGAACCAATAAATGTTGCCTTCCACATAAATAGACTCAAGGACAGAAAACAAATGTCATCGCATTAGATGCAGCTAATGCTTTTGACAAAAAAAATTCAATGTCCCTTGTATTAGTTACTTCTCTGTTGCTGTGAAGGAAACTCCATGACCAAGGAAACTTATAGAAGGACGTTCATTCGATTTACAATTAGAGAGGGATTATAATCCCTGATGTAGGAGGCAGCATGGTGGCTGAGTTGGCTGGAGCAGAAAGCCAGGCAATCACTTCTTCAAGGAGACATAGGAAGGAGAGAGACTACAAGTCCAGCAAGGCTTCACAACTCTCAAAGCCCGCCCCTGGTGAAGTGCTTCCTCCAGCATGGGCACACCTTCTAAGACCCCAAAACAGCACCATCAACTGGGGACAAAAATGCCCAAATACTTGGAGCCTTTGGGGACATTATCATTCAAACCACCACACACTTCATGGTGAGATCATGGAGAATGTAAGAATCTAGTGGACAAATTTCAACCTAATAAATGCAATATACAAAAAGCCCACAGTCAATATCATGCTAATTCAAGAAAAACCAAAGGAATTTACACTAAAACCAGGAACAAGACAAAGATTGAGACTCCCTTTGGTGATGCTGGCTATAGTGTTTGAAGTGCTGGATCTATAAGTCAAGTGAAGGTGATAAGGGACTACGAATAGGAAAGGAAAACGCCAAATTGTCCTTACTTGAAGATCGTATTAATCTATGAATAGAACACCCTAAAGACTCCATCAGAAATCTAAAATTGATAAACACATTCAGCAAAGTGTCAGGATGAAAAATGAAAACACAAAGCATCAATAGCTTTCCTGTAAACCAAGGACAAACGTCCCCAGTAGGAAATGAAAAGATGAGAACACAACGGATGGACAGCACAGAAGAAGGACTGATGGAAACAGCCCCACCCACAGTAGTGTAAAAATTAAAGTATCTTCAAATGAATCCGACCCAGGAAGTGAAAGACCTGTATAACAAAACTTAAGACACTGAAGAAGGAAATTGAAGAAGAATCTGGAAAGACTCTCATGTTCACGGGTCGGTAGGAGGGATACTGTGAAAATGGGCATCCTCCCAAAGCAATGTAAAGATTCAGTTCACTCATCATTAAAATTCCAATGCAATTATTTACAGAAATTGAAAAATCTACAAATTCATATGGAAACACCCCATGAATATTTTAGCTAAAACAATCTTGAATAATACAAGAACAGCCGGGGTCATCACCATCCTGAATTTTAAGTTAAACTGCAGAACTCTACTCAAAAAATCAACATAGTAGTGGTATAAAAACAGACACACTGATCAATGGAGTACAACTGAGGACTGGGCTATGCGTCCATGCACCTACAGCCTCCTGCTTTTTGACAAAGATGCTATTATAAAATACCTTATGGAGTTCAATTTATGCTGCCCATTTACTCCTGCGTTGCTGCCATCCACTGGAACACTGTCCACCTACCAGAGGACACAAGCTTACAGAAGACTTAACTCTCCCTCATTCAGCAGCTATGAACACCAGCAGCTCCTCAGCCAGGGGTGAGATGCCCAACTCTGCCCTCTGCCCTTGGCTTTTGTCTGGGTGAACTTGAGCAGGTCCTGTGCATTTGTCAGAACTGCTGTGAGTTCACATGTGCAACTGCCTCGTTGTGTCCAGACCTCGCTTTCCCTCTCGTTACCCACAGCATGTCCATCTCACAGTCTTTGTGCCTTCTCCTTCATGATCATCCCCAACCCCAAGGAGGAGGGGGTATAACTCAGATGTCCCATTTATGGAGGGGCAGTCTACAGGCTCTTATTCTTTGCACCTTGACCCGTTGTGGGTCTCTGTGCTAATCTCCACCAACTACAGAAAAACGCTTCTCTGGTGAGGTCTGAGAGACGCATTAACCCTGTCGCCTGTCGATGGACATCTGGGCTGATTCCCTTTCCTAGCTGTTGTGCTAGAGCAGCACTAAGAATGGATGACCACGCACCTCTTATTGTAGAATAATTTTATTAAAATATTTATGTATTATTTGACTGTTTCATACATATATGTATTAACTTCTAGTGATTCCCACCCCACCACCCTCCCTCATCTCCCTCCCTCTACTGAAGAACATGATGCCCCTCCCCCACCATGTGTTCCCTCAGTAATCTGCCAGGGAGGGTGGAGACCCGTGAGCCCCACCCGCTGTGGTGATGAAATGGTGCGACCTCCGCATCCTCCCGCTCCTCCACTCCTTCATCCCTGTGTTCCCTGAGCCTTGTGTGATGACCATAGGGACACTGAACATCTTCAGATTCACGCCTAGCTGACCATGCCTGACCTGCTGAATGTTGGAGCCTGAACCCCAAGCACTCTGCTAACCTGGGACCCCAGTGAGGGTTTCCTGAGTCTCGGGGAAAGCACAATGCAGGTTCTCTGAGCGTCCCCAGATCTGATCCTGGTGCGCACAGCAGAGTAGCTTCTGCCCTCTGTGAGGCTCCACAGTTTGTTCCAGTGAGAGAGCGTCCTGTATTTAAATGTATCACAACAGAAGCCAAAAGTTTTTGTTATTTAAAAACTTCAAAGATTGCTACATATCCTAACTATAAGCACGATTCCTGGGAAAACTGTTCTGTGATATGGTCAGGCAGCAGAGACCCAGAGCAGTGCAGCCTTTGAAGCCTTTGAGTGCTTGCTCTGGGAAGTGGAGCTCAGCGTGCACTCCGCGCCCCCTGCTGGCTCCGAGCCCCATTCAGGAAGGTTTGTGTCTGACTCACAGCAACATTTACTCACTGTGTCTCTTGTACAGAAATAGGTGGCCGTGTCCTCAATTTTCAGAATGCTCATTTGCAGGTACAGGGTGTTCTTGGCGTTGTCTCTGGAGATGGTGAATCGGCCCGTCACAGAGTCTGCGTGGTGTTGGCTGTTAGCATTGGTAATGCTTCCGATCCACTCCAGCCCCTTTCCGGGAGTCTGGCGGACCCAGTTCATGTCGTGACCACTGAAGGTGAATCCAGATGCCACACACGAGAGTTTTAGGGACCCTCCAGGCAGCACCAAGCCACCTCCAGACTCCACCAGCTTCTCCTCACACTGGACACCTGCAAACACAGAGAATTTGGGTCTGGAAACTGTCAGACACACACTGTCCCTTTCACGCATGTTCACTCACACAACCAGTATCATCTTCTTCATACATTACCTTGTAAAAGCACAACAAGGAAAAGCCAGCTCAGCCCCAGCTCCATGGTGAGTCTGCTCAGTGCTGGTCACTGAATGGGAACACAGGGAATGCAGGGCTGGGCTCCTCTGCTGAGTTGCAGGGTCAGGGCTGGGCTGGTTTTCATGAGCAGAGGGAGCCCTATTTGCATGTCCCCTTGCTGCATAACAGGATGGGGCTGGACTCCTTAAAGAAGACAGTTCTCAGAGTAGATCTGAGGGTACTGATGGCAGTCATAGAATGTGAGACAATATGTGTAACCTGCAGGTTTCTGAGCTCATCCTGTGTTATCTGCAGCCATACAGGCTGATCCCATGCTGGGTAAGAGGATAGTCAATACTTGACACTTATATGCTGGGGATCAAACTCAGGTCCTTAAAAGATGCCTGGTGTCAAACATCTTTACCAGCTGATTCATCTCACCAGCTTATTAATGTTACAATTACAATTTTTTATGTGACGGTATTGTTTACTAAATTTTGGGGGGTTGTTATAATTTATAATAATATCCAGGCTTCAAAATTCCTATTTTTTATGACAATGAACTAATTCCTAAAGCATGTAAAGCATTCAAACCACTGAGTAATAAGAATGCTAGTAACCCAGTTTTGAGCAGGTGAAAGAGCATTGCATATTTATTAGGAAAAAGATGTGAATCAGCAGAACCACAGCATAAATGTCATTATCTCCCATCATAAGAGAACTGGAAATGAAAGGGAAATGAGGTATCACCTCACACGTGGAAGAAAGTCACTCTTTTACCAAAAAGAGGGACAGAAACCAGACTCTGTCAGGATATGGAGAAAAGGGCGCCCTGCACCATGTTGATGGGAACATAGGTTAATTCAGTAATGTGGAAAATAGATTGAAGATTCCTCAAAGTTTCAGAATAGCAATACCATACACTTGGGCAATCTGTCTTCTTGGTATACAGTCATGTGGAATGAAATTTTTATTTAAGGGAGAGTTTTCACCAGCGTGATAATTTCAGCACGATTCACCATTAATGTCCATCAATGAATAAACGGATTAAAGTAAGTGTGCATAAGCAGTGCAAATATATACTTTCAAAAGAAGTCTTTCATTCCTAATCCACAAAGAGCTTTAGAAGGCAGTATGCTGTGAAATAACCCAGAAACCAGAACACAGGTGCTGTGTGATCACTTATATTCAGAATCTCAGAAATTTGACTGTTTAGACACCAAGAACACATGTGACCACCACAGTGGTGGCAAGGATGATGCTGATGCCAGAGTATGAAGTTTGTTTGCTCTGGAGGGGCACTGCACAGAGAACACAGTTCACAGGAAGGTGCTCACAGAGCAAACTGTGCAAGAGCAGATTTTCAAATTCTCAGCACAAAGAGACTACTGACTGGCATGGCTGCAATGTTTGTTAGCTTGATTTCATGTTTCCATTTTTACATAAATCATACAATCATTCTATCATATTCGACACATTTTCACAACTAGTGTACTTCACTTTAAACCTTGGTATCAGCAACACATGTACTTGACATGCTCATGAATGTATAAATACATATGAATTGTTTATAATGATCTCCCTGCTATGATGCTAAACTATTGAGTTTTAAAATGTGACTAAGCACCGTGACCACACAGCTCTAAGTGATTCCTCCCCGTTCCTTTACCTCAAAAGTTAGTCAGAGCCTGGTCTTGCAGTGATTATGCAGAAGAAATAACGTGTGTCCCCCACATCCTTGCCCCAACTCTGCACCTTCTCCACTACCAGCCCCTCTGTACATGTGAACGTCCCAGGTGAGAAATCTCACACAGATGCCCACATTACTGTGCTTCCATATCGCACCCCTGTGGGCACCTTCACCTGTGTCCACACACATGGAGCTTGCCTATGAGCAGAGGCTGTGAGAGAATACTGGGATATTAGAACATGATACTTTTATGTGTGATGGACATAGACTTAACATATACAATTTGATCATATTATAAAAATTTAGGTCTTCCTGGATATCACAGTTTCAAACAAAACTTCTGATGATGCAGGGATTCCAGTTAATTCTTCCTGAGGTGGATATAAAGCAGTGCATAGAATAGGGAGGGACTTTCGTGTTCCCTCCTGGCAAGTCCAGTGCTCCTCATTAGAATGAAAGAAGTTATAGAAGACAGACCATCACCTTTCTGTTCCCTGAAAACTTCCTGGACCACAGATCTCACGAGGAGAGTGTGGTGTTCAGGGAGTGAGTCAGGGAGTGAGCAAGTGACAGAGGCCGATGGAGAGAGACGGCAAACTCTGCCCACCATGGATGCCAGGTGACTGACAGTGTACACAGGAACAGTGTCTGCTGCCCATGTAATCTATAAATGACCGTCCAATCCACTGTGCTTAGAGGACATTGGGATACATACTTTCCTCCAGCTCTGTCTCTTTTCCACTCTTAAGAGGTTTTCTCCATTAATGAACTATCTGTTTCTCTTTGTGTCCATGTGTCCATGTCCCATTCCTTGGTCCAGGACACAAGAACCTGGAAATCCCAGCAGGTGCCCAGGAGACACTGCTATCTGCCCATAACAGTTACACCATATGACTCACCATATGTAGCAACCAAGTGAAATTCATCAAAGACTTAGATGTGAGACGTTGAAGTGGAAAATACTAGAAACCACACAGGGAGAGATCTCAAGGCACAGCATACACAAAGACCATTTCATAGGAGCACAGGAGTAGAGGCAGAAAAATGAAGGAACAGATGTGGTCACCACAAACCAGAAGACTTTCACACTGCCTAGGTAACGGTGAAGAGAAGAGACGACAGACAGGAGAGGACACATTTCCAGACTCGCCCTATGAAAGCAGATCAAGACAAAGAATATACAGGGACCTTGAAGAACTCCAGTCAGAAAAATACCTCATACTATCGAACCAGCTAAATTATTTGAAGAAGTGCTTTTCCAATGACCAACAAGAATACGGAAGCCTTCACCATCATTATCAGAAAAATGGAGCTAAAGCAGCTCAGCTTTCATCTCCCTGCAGTAACAGTGGCCTCTGTGTACGTGGACAGAAACATGTGCTGGAAGGATCTGGAGAATGAGTGCCTCATACACACGGCCAAGAAGGTGGATTAACACTGTTGTTTGAATGTGTCCCTCAGTGAAGAGATGTTATTTTCAGACAAGGAGATGTTACTTTTATTTTTTAAATATTTTATTAATTATTTTTATTTTTTATGTGTGAGTATTGCCTGCATGTATGTAAGTGCACCCATGTCATGTAGTGCCCGCGGGGGTCAGGAGGCCTCTGATCCGCTGGAACTGCAGTTACAGATGGTTGTTAGCCACTATGCGGGTGCTGGGAGTCAAACTCAAGTGCTCTGCAAGAGCAGCCAGTTCTCTTAACTGCTGAGCCATCTCTCCAGCCCCAAGGACATGCTATTTATAGACAACAAAGTCACATCTTTCCATTTTGGAATTATACATGTTAAGAATCCAGATAGGTTCAATGCTGATTTCTATAAGACTTTTAAAGAAGAATTAAAACCAACGCTCTTCAAACTTCTCCATAAATTAAATGTTAGGAACACTACCAAACTCTTTTATAAAGCAAGTATTAAAGTGGTATCAAAATATTTCCACTAAAACCTGAAATGAGACAAGTTTGTCCAATTTGTTCATTATTTTTCAATATAGTGCTTACATCTTAGCTAGAGCAAGGCGGAAAGAAACAGGAGGGCAGGAGTAAGACAAGGGCGCGGATGTTCCTATTTCCAGACAATACGATCTTGGACTTTGACAGACCCTATAGCCTCTAACAGAAATGCTTAGCACTGACAAATATTTTCAGCAAATAGCAGGATGTAAAACAGCATACAACTATCAGCATCCATCCTAGATACCATTGACGCATATGGGGGCAGTCAAATCTGGAAAACACCCCATTCACAAAAGCTACACAATGTTCCCATAAATATCCTAACCAAGGTTGGAAAAAGCCTCTGCAATGTAAATGTGTAGAATGGATGAAGTTAATTACAGAAAACCATGAAAGATGGGAAGTTTTTCCATGCTCTTAATTCAATACAATTATTATCATTGGCACATCTGTAATTTGAAAATGAACTACACCTTCAACACACCATCCACTGAAATTCCAAGAACAGCCTTCACAGAAAAAGGAAAAATTAATCCAAAAATTCCTAAGAGCAAAGGTTTCAAGATAGTCAAAGAAATCCCGCGACAACAGAACAATGTAGGGTGTAGCACAACCCTCTTTTCAAATAAACTACAGAGCCACGGGAACAGCAGCTTGGTGCCGGGACACATACAGACATGTAGACTAATAGAAAAGACACAGAAATACATTCAACTACGGAACCTACTTTTGACAAAGATGACAACTTACTCTGTAGAAGAGACAGCGTAGGGAAGGTGGATCGTCACATGGAGAGTTTGACTTCAATCTCATCTCTCAGCCTGTAGAAAATAGATGTCAAAGAGATCTGCGTTACCTTAATGTAAGACCTGAAAATCTGCAACAGCCAGAGGAAAACTTAACAAAAACATTTCAAGATATACACACAGGGAGGCCTCCGCTGAACAATTTCCAGTAACTGAAGACATAATACTAGGAATTTAAATGGTGATTGCATGAAATTTTAAAAAGCTTCTGTCCAGCAAAGGAGCCAATTAACTGAACAGAAAGGCAACCTGCAGAGTGGGAGACACGTTGTGCTGTTACACATCTGACAACAGATTAATATCTAGAATACACAAAGAACATAAAGGACTGAATACCAAAAACTGGACATTCCAGTAAGTATAGATGGGCTAATGAAAGGATCGGACTCCTGTGAAAAGATAGGAAATACCTCCTTAACCATCAGGGAAATGTAATTCACAAATATTTTTAACGTTCCATTCATCCCAGGTAGAAATCCTAACATTAATTTTAAGAAAGCAACAAAAAGCAGTTAAGATGCAGGGAAAAAGGAAACCGTGCACAGTGCTGGTTGGAATGCGAATAAATCCACCACTTCAGAAAACGATGCCTGACTAGGTCAGAAGAGAGGCTCAGATTCCCCTGGAACTTGAGTTATAGACCTTGTTCACCACCATGTGGGTGCTGGGAACCAAATCCTGGTCCTCTGCAGGAGCAACTAGTGGTCTTAACCAATGAGACATCTCTCCAGCCCCATTTACTTGTTTTTAAAGGTTGTCTATTTTCCATTGCTTATTTAGGATGAATCTCCCTTCACTTGGATAGGAACCAAGAAGTGGGCTTGCTGGATCCCAGGGGTCTTGTATTCCGAAACCTTGAGGATCCTGCAGTCTAGTTTCCATGTAGTAGTACTAACTTGTATTCCCACCAACGAGGGGAAAGGGCTCCCTTTCTCTACATCCTGACAGATTCAGGCAAAGGAATGACATTCCACCAGGTGTGAGGTGAAGTCTCACTTTTCTTTATTTTATACTTGTCTGGACAAGACCATGTCACATTAGCAGAACATCAGACAAACTTTGTTGTTAATGATTTTCTACTCTAAAATTTGAGCTCCAGGTTGGGGTGTCTAGACTCAGAATTTAGGGGGCATAGCTAGCCTAGAAGTCACTACCAAGCATCAATTTTGTTTTCAATAACTGGACCTACGTTGGCTCAAGGCACTTTTGTTTGGAAAAAATACCATTGCTATTTTTTTTTCTTTCTTACAACAATCAACACAATGCCCACCAGACGTATCTAGGGGAAAATCTGATCTGGGCCATTCCTTGGTTAGGCTCTTTTCAGATGAGTAAATCTAGGCTGTCTCAAGTTGTCTCTAAGCTAACTTGGACATAGTGCAGTCAGTCCACTTTCATATAAGATTTAGATCTTCTCTCTGGAGATATTTCATGTCTGTTACTATAAGTCAAACACTGTACCTCATGGCTAGTGAGATGATAGGCTGCAGTGGGAGACAGCTTTCGTTGTTTTACTATGTAAAGGATCAGAACTCGCTGAAGCCTGTTGGAAATAAGGAAAAATAGCTAGTTCCCATAACCGACCAGATTGCAGTTTCAACATTAACGATACAATTTGTTCTGAACAAGAGTAAAAACAGAGGAAACCAGTGTCTACATAATTCTCATCCTTGGGAATACTGTGGAAAATAGCCAAAAACCCAGAGTGCCATTCAATTGCATGTTACCAAGAGCCATGTGTCACAGGCAAGTAATGCCACCATGCAGTAAATTACAATATAAACAAAGGCTCCGTAAAGACAGAAGATTGTAGAGCTTGCCATGGGATAGAAAATGTCAACAAAGCTTGATCTTAAGAAACATAAAAGATTGAGAAGTTATGAAACATAATATATCTGTAGAATTACTACTTGTGGCCAGGTGGTGCTGGCTGGACATGGTATGAGCTCTAAACAGCATTCTACCCTGTTTCTACATGTTTGGTGCAGCTGAATCTGTGCTAGAGCATCCTGAGCACTGCCATCAGCTACTGTGTGTCGCCACAGGGAGGTTTATATCTGGGCTAACCATGAAGTCTCCTCACTATTTGGCACAGTAGTACACAGCTCTGTCCTCATTGTTCACAGAGCTTGGCTGCAGAGAACTCTGTTCTTGGATGAAACTGTGGAAATGGTGGCTTGGGTTTCAGGGAGTTTGTTGATAATAGTACATTCCTAACATGCGTGCCTCATCCACTTCAGCTCCATTCCTGAGGATGAAGAATCCAGTCCCAGCAGCTACTACTGGATGTGATGGAGAATTTTGAGAGAGTGCAGGTGTAGGAGAGTCTGTGAGGGTTTCACAGGGGCAGGTCCTGACTCTGCTGGCAGATATGACATGAAGGATACTCACCTTGTGCAGATATTGCCAGGCACAGAAGAAATACCAACTGTCACATCTTGTAGTGTCATACCCCTGCCTTCTCCAGAGACCTCAGCTTCTTCTGAGCAGAGAGCTATGATCTTCCACAGGAAAGACCAGAATTTGAATCTAGAGCCTGAATATTAATTTGCATGTGGGGTATCCTTTTCATACACCTGGGGAGCAACTGATGTCAGAATGTCCCTGGTCCTTCTGTTATCTGTGAGGAATGTCTTCTCTTGAGCTATGGTGATTTTCATTATTGATTAGAGAGAAGCTGGTTTCAGAGAGATGCTGCAAGCTGATCAAGAGCTGATGCCACATTCCTGAGCCCAGCTCTACCTTCCTCAAATCCCTTCACTGGCCACAGCCCAATCCTTCCCATGTGCTCAGGCTCTGTGTCTGGCCTCCTCAGGGCTGATCTCATCACTGAAGTTGTTTTCCTTGCCTGTACCCCCTTTTATATGATTCCTAACCTATAGGAATTTGTCATTTTGTCACTGTGTTGCTATGCAGGAGATTCATGACTTCCCTGTACTCTGACATCCTGAATTTTAAGGCACACCTGAACTAGAAACATTAGAGACTGGATAAAGTGATGTCTGTCACACCCTTCACTCCAAATAATTATTAATTCTTTGATAATTAACTAAATGTATTTACATAATATTCATGCCCTTATGCCAACTCAGTTGAAAAAATCCCCCCCTGCTCAGGGCCTCCTCCATCCCCCACCTCCCTTCTCATCCCTGAGTGGCCCAGCCACCAGCTTCCTGGGGCCAGCATCTTTTCTGCTAAAGTTCATCAGTTTCCATTGTGCCTTGACTCCCCCAGATTCATTTACCCTCCCAGCTCCCCAGCCCCAACACTCCTCCTTGCTGGGAACTGGCCCATTTCTAGTCTTGGCATCCAACACAATTCTTCCCTCTGGTCCCTGGGAGCCCTTGGGGCCTCTTCTGACCCCCACCTCCTTTTATATTCCTGGGTGGCTCAGCCCCCAGCTTCCTGGGGCCAGCTTCTTTCCTGAACCCTGGTCCCAGGCCAGCCCAGCTCCCAAATTCCTGTGGCCAGCATCTTTCATGGAGGGATCCAGACCTTAGATAAATGCCCAAGAGCATCTGATCCTCATCTGACTTGTGGGAACTCAGGTAAGGAGTGTGGGAACTCCTGAGCAGGAAGAGGAAAGCAATTTGGCCCCTCCAATATAAAATCAAAGGAGAGAACCTGAAGCCTAGACCAACCAGCTTTTCATGCTCAACAAGAAGTAAACCACAAAGGCACATAAAATTCACAAAAAGAAGCAGACCTAAACTTCAACAAAGGAAGTCTTGAGTCTCACACAAGAATCAGAAACTACAAAAGAAATCCACATGTTAAAGTCACAGTAAAAAAAAAATAACATGAAACACCCAAATAATATATCCCCACCAAGTACCAACAGTCCTGTAGAGGAGAACAATGAGAACCACCAAGAGAGAACACAGGACATGGAACTCAAAAGAACAATTACAAACATGATAAAATAATTCAGTGAATTTAAATAATACACAAAGAAAACAAAGAACTGAAAGAAGATAGGGATAAACTTCTGAATGAATTCATGAAAGAGTTAGAAATATTGAAGAATACTCAGGCTGAAAGGAAGAAGGAAGTGAAACACTCAGCCAATTAGAGGTGACAGGAGAAAGCCTCACCAACAGAATGAATGAAATGGAAAACAATATCAAGACTGGAAGGTAAAGTGGATGCATTAGATCACTCAAGTAATGATTATGAAAAATTTAAGAAAACACAAGAATGGAATATGCAGGAATTGTGTGACATCATAGAAAAAAAAACAAACTTACGAATCACAGACATACAAGCAGGAGAAGAATCTCAGGATAATGGTCTGGACTAGATCTTCAACTGGATTGTAGAAGAAAATTTCCCCAAATTAAAGAAAGACATGCCCATACAAATACAAGAAGCATACAGAACACCAAATAGACAGGATCAGAAAAGAAACTCTCCATGGAACATCATAGTAAAAACACCAAATGTACAGAACAAAGAGAGAATACTGAGAGCTGCAAAAGAAAAAAAACAAGTCACAGATAAAGGAAAACCCTTCAGAATTACAGCTGACTTTTCAGTGCAAACTATGAAAGTCAGAAGAGCCTGGACCCAAGTATTCCCAGCTCTAAATGACCACAGATGCCAAACCAGATTACTTTACCCAGCCAAAATGGCTATTATAGATGAAGGAGAAAGAAAAATATTTCATGACAAAAATAGGCTGAAAGAATTCATGTCCATAAGTAAGCCCTTCAGAGAGTCCTTGAAGTGATACAAAGAGCTGAAGAAAGGAACGACTGTACACAAGGGGTGACAGAAAGAAACTTCATGAAGGTATAACTGTGCAAATGCACAGCTACACCAAGAATGTGAACAGAAATAAAAATGACAGGATTCAATACACATCTTTCATTAATAGCCTTAAATATGAATGGACTGAACTCCCCAGTCAAAAGACACAGACTAGGTGAATGGATTAAGAAACAAAACTCATCTTTCCATTGTCTGCAAGAAACTCATCTAACCTTCAAGGACAGGCACTACCTTAAGGTGAAAGGATGGAAAAAAATATATCAAGCAAATGGTACTAAGAAAAAAGCAGGTGTTGCAAGTC